CCCCCCCCCCCCCACTTTTCCACTTTCCACTTAATTAACAGATTTATTAATTTAGTTACAAATCCAAATTTGTGCTTAACCCCCCCCCCCTTTACGCCACCACATACTTTTTTCACGCCCTTGAACTCTAGGTCCCACCCCCACTCATCCCTCCACCCCCTCACTACCCCTACCCCCACCCCACCATCCGTTTTATACCATAGTTTTAAACACACCAGCTTGAAATTAAGACTACACTTGTCATATTTTTTAAAGAATCTCCTATAGCAAAGTTATCGTGGATTTTATTTTGCGCGCCACTAAACTCGCCCTTACACCAATGCTCTCTTCCCATATCTTGGTGAATTATATTGATGTGCCGTACTTATTCAGAACGTCTAACATCCCCCAAACAGGATCTCGCCAACAAGACGACCACGTTTATATTCGGGTCCATCCTCAGCCGTGACGGGGTCCCGACTTTCGTCTCGGCATACGACCTTCAGCCGGGCCACTTCATTCTCCTGCTCAACGGACACTGGAACTACCACCACGACAAGACCGCGGCTGCTGTTCATGTGCAAAACCTCAACTGTGTTGAATTCATTGCAGTGTTGTAATTTAGAAAATTTAGATTATATAATTCAGTGTTGTAATTTAGAAAATTTAGATTATATAATTCAGTGTTGTAATTTAGAAAATTTAGATTATATAATTCAGTGTTGTAATTTAGAAAATTTAGATTATATAATTCAGTGTTGTAATTTAGAAAATTTAGATTATATAATTCAGTGTTGTAATTTAGAAAATTTAGATTATATAATTCAGTGTTGTAATTTAGAAAATGTAGATTATATAATTCAGAGTTGTAATTTCGAAAATTTAGATTATATAATTCATCATCATCATGATCATGATCATCATGTCCCTTAGTCCTTGGACCGTTGGGGCGCCACAGATGACATGTGAACTATCCTCCTCTATTCGTCTCTGTCGTCTGCACACTTCGCACAGCATCACCTAGCTTTAGTCCTGTCCACTCTTTCTTTGATGTTGTCTTCTCATCCTTTTCTCTGTCTTCCTCTTCTCCCTCCTCCTCTCTTTGTACCCTGCGTGATTTCTTTGGCGAGCCCTTGTTTCCTTGTCACGTGGCCGTACCACTGTAGTTTGAGCTTTTTTTTTACAGTTATTATATAATTAATATTTATCTAATAATTGAGTAGTTTGTGCTAGACTGATATCAGGGGTGGGATGGGGGGGGGGCCTGTGTTTCTAAAGCGTGTGTTTATCTAATCTACTTCAAGAGGTCGCGATCCTGTGAAATGGCGTCAGAAAAAAAAGAACAAAAAAAAAAAAGAATTTAAATCAAAGAGATCTTTAACATCAAATATGAATACTCACTGCAGACTCGCAGAGATTAAAAAAAAAATGGAAAACATTTCAGTGGTAAAAACATGTTTTTTTTCTGTCTTCTTCCATTTTCGTCTACAGATTAAACTACTTGTAATTAAAAAAAATGTGTACGTATTAAATGCTAGCATTAAATTACTGAGACAAGATAAAATCAAAACAATTTTAAAATATCTCAAATGAAGCATGAAAGCATGACTTGTGTAATGACTTGTGTAATGACTTGTGTAATGACTTGTGTGATGACTTGTGTAATGACTTATATAATGAATTGTATAATGACTTGTGTAATTGTTGGCGAGTGTTCTTAGAAAGAAACGATTAGCCTACATACTTCATCTCATTGGAATACACACACGCACGCACACACACACACACACATGGACACTCTTAAAACCAAAGATGTAAAAGCAGTTGAATGCAATACATCAAATCATCTCAACAGACTCTATAAATAGAACATGCTAAGCTTTATGTTGGACCAAGCTATCAAGCGAGGACTCTTGTCCAGATTTGTTTTAAAAGTTTAGAATGACATCAGTTGCCAAAATGATCAAGAACTTTCTAAGTTGCAACTGGCGTATTCAGCGCACAAACATAAGTACAGAAACACAGGTACAGAAACACAGGTGCACAAACACAGGTACACAAACACAGGTGCACTAACACAGGTACAAAAACACAGGTACACGAGCACAGTTACACGCACAGGTACACAAGCACAGGTACACAAGCACAGGTACACAAGCACAGGGGCAAGACCACAGGTACACAAACAAAGGTACACAAATACAGGTACACAATCACGGGTACACACTTACAGGTACACAAGCACAGATACACAACACAGGTTAACAAACACAGGTTAACAAACACAGGTTAACAAACACAGGTACACAAACACAGGTACACAAACACAGGTACACAAGCACAGGTACACAAACACGGGTACACAAACACAGGTACACAAACACAGGTACACAAGCACAGGTACACAAACACAGGTACACAAACACAGGTACACAAACACAGGTACACAAACACGGGTACACAAACACAAGTACGCACGCCTAAGTCTGGCCTGGCGCTTTAGGGGGGGGGGGCGGGGGGCCAAAGGTTCCCTGGTGCCAGATTATGTATTTCCAAAATGAGCTTTGATTGTCCTATGTGTTTTGTCGACAAAAATAATGGGTGGCAGGGTTGAAGGTGGGTGGAAAAACATGAATCTTTTCCCCGGGCTCGAAAAATTCTAGCTACGCCGCTGCCTCTGGTTTCGATATTTCACAATAACAGAGTCCGCACGCATCCAGATTCCAGATAGCCATCTTTTAACAGTTATAATGTCACCTTTAAAAATACATTGGTAAAGTAAAAACGAATGCCGTCTGTTCTATAAAATGGATATACAGCATACCGAGCGATATAATTTTGTTTCGGTTTCACTTGCGAAAGTCACACGACGTAAAAAGATATCCACGCGATGACGTATGGATCGTAAATAATATATCGGGAATTTCCGAAAACGAGAGGACTTTTTAAAATAAATATATTTAATAGATGCCACCTTTTCGAGTTACTCAGTCGATGGAAAAGATCAGAGAAGGCAACATATGTATAGTGGAACTTACCCTGATTTGAATTTCCAAACACACAGGTATGTTAAGGTTTTATTTGGTCAAAATTACAATTATAAATTACAAATTTAAGGCAACGAATCCATGATATTTTAAGGCATGTAAGCCATTGATCCTTGTTAATGCGAGCTGCTCAAATTGTGACACCAGTTTAATTAATAGTTAAATTTTTTCAATGAAATCAAAATGACGTAAATTAGTTTAGATTAAGATTTATTTTATATCTTCAATGTAAGGGTCCATTTCTAGATCGTTATTTTTTTATTTTTTTTTTGCCAACGCTGAAGTTCTTTGAAAGGCGTCGATTATATCTTTTCCCTTTGGTTATCTAGGCCAAAAGCCTACTATGAATGCTTCAATCGCCTATTCTATTATTTACTGAGAGGCAGTGGGTGATTTGAACGTGATTTCCATCTCTAAAAAACATTTCGTTCAAATGATTCATCTAACTTTTTTTTTTTTAAATATTTTAATAACGTGTGTTCTCGCAACTTAATTTTTGCTAAACTATCCCCGCACAACCCCCCCCCCAACCCCATGTCTACTCCCACCCTTTTTAGGGGAAAAAAACAAACAATGTCATTTGCGTAATTCAACTGAATCAAATCCTGGATTTTAGATGATCTTTATTGATTTTAAAATATTCCATGTGCAAGAGACCTAAGATCATCTAGTGAGATTATAAAGCACTGCTATTCTGAAACCAAGCGTGCGGGTTACCTGTTCAACGTACATGTGTATTGGACCGGGAACATTTTCACGCAATGAATTTCGTTTTAGGTCACGCTGCTGTTAAGTTATATTTAGATCCTTAGCGGTCTGGTAAGCTGCAGCTATTCTAAGAAAACTATTTTTGTTTTCAGTTTTCAATTTAACTCCCCCCCCACCCCCCCCCCCCCCCAAACCCACAGCCCCCCCCCCCCCTCGATGTTTATCTTTAAATAAATAATTGTAAAAAGTTGTGAAGTGAAAACAAATTTAACTATTAACTTTGAATACATGGGGAGGGGGTACGAAACCAAGAAATGGGGGGGGGGGGCGTTGACCAAAAAAGTCACATGACGGCTCTGCATGACATGAATCAACGCGAAATCTTTGGAATTTATTTTTAGCAGTCGTGCAAACATTACATTCGTGAAAAAAAGTTAATCCAGGGAGAACAGTGGAGATGGAGCACCGCGCTGTATGAGACCACTGTAATAATACTGATAAGAATAATAGAATCTTTATGTGAAATAAATAAGAATCTTAGAATTACCATACACACAAATTACGTTACTGGCAACCACTAATCAAACGCATGTTTTTGTTCACCGCCATTTCTTAGCTACAACTGGACAACATACTTTATTGTGAACACGGGGCAAAGCTACGGAGATTAAACACAAAACAAACCAAGATTGTAAGAATTCATTCGTAAATATAGCTATATAAAATTGATTCAACTGTTATTTGGGACAGCGACAACAATGAATCGACAAGCAGAAGCCAAGGCCGTCGCCAAGAAAGGTCATCAGAAAAACGGCGATTCAATCCTCTCTGACGCTATGCAACGCGGTGATCGTCACGACCAGCGCAAGCCATTGGCTGATATAACCGGAAAGCAACAGGCTGCGTCGCAGCTCGGTGCTCCCAAGAAAAGGAAGAACGGTAAACAGTACACCAAAGAACGTCAAACAGCCCGGCCGCAAACGGCCAGCAAAGAGCTGAAATCGGAACACGGTGGGAGATCTTCTTCGAGCGGCAGAACGGCAGACTCTCGCTCTGCTGGCAAAAAACCGTCCAAGAAACAGATTCTGATGAGGAAGAAAGAAAGGGCGTTAACAAGGGAAAGCAACAAGATCGCTGGGACAGAAGTGATTCTCTACGATGCACCGTTCGCCCAGAGGCAGAAAGAGGCGTATTTAGGTCGTTGCTGCGTGTGTCGCAGGGAGCAGTACTCCATGAAGAGCTGCAGTCGGTGCGGGCAGCTTAAATACTGCAGCCGCGAGTGCCTGCACAAGCACTGCAAGGACGAGGTACAGAAACAGATGTGCAGTAAGTAGGCCTTCGTGTTTGTGGTGTTACGTTATTCGTTTCTTATGTTTATTAGTAATATCTTTAAAGGTGTGGACCATAAAGACTTAAACGTGTTAAATAGAGAAAGAATTCCCTCATCTTTAAAATGTTTCGAACATTTCTTATTTTTATTTTTTTTTTTCCTTCATTGACAAGTTGACATTTTGATTACCCTTAAGAAAACAAATAAACAGTTTCTGGTAAAGGTTTATAATTTTAAAGAAAAATTCATGTTTATGTGTTTTGTTATTTTACATAAACTCGAAGTATTAAATCATTAGAATACCTCAAAAGATTTAGAAGGGGGAAAAACACACACAAAAAACATTGTTTTGTTGTTATGAAAACGTTAAAAATGATATACAATTTGTTTAGTTAATTTTTAGAACTAAATATACAAACCAAATACATTTAAAATATAATTGCTTTACTTTATGTGGGGGGGGGAGTGTTGGAGTAGTCAGGGGAGCGGAGGGGGTGGTCGGATGGCACTTTTACTTTTTTGTATTGATTAATTGCACTGTCAGCCACCAGCACATGTTTGTTGTTTTTTGTTCCGTGGAAGGGTACGGGGTCCGTCCTGGAGGTTACTAAACCATAGTTACGCCACTTGGATGAGGAGGGGGAGGGGTATTTTTTTAACAAAAATGAGATTATTCAAATACTTATTTTACGAGACTCATAATGTGAATTTCTTCCTATTATATATTATGTTCTCGAATTCATTCCCTCTGTCGCACAGCTCGCGTTGTGGCATTTACAAATACACGCAACGGACTCAAGCGAGAAGTCGTCGACAGACTGTTTGCATCAGGCATTACTGAGATCAGTCCGTATCTGTACAGTGTACCAAGACAAGAAATCTGTAAGTACTCAAATAGAAGAAAAACTCTCTATTTTTTATGAAGGAATTTGTCCTCCGACTATTTATCAATAAAAATATATATATATATATATAAAAAAAGAAAGAAAATGGCGCTCGATAGGTGGACGGGAAAAGGTGTCAATTAGACTTCCGAAGATTGTGCAACCCGGCCAGAAATTCACGAGCCAAAGCGAAGTTAATATAAGGGATTTAATTTTTAAAAACCCTAATAACAAAGTTTTTCGTAAAAATACTTTATAAAATGTAATTTCGAGATGGGTTTTGGGAAGGGGGGGGGGGCGGCTGAATGTTGAAAATTTGATGAAACGTGCATACGAGTAACGCACTTCATAAGAATCCCACTAAGGTCTCCCCCCGCCCCCGCCCCGCCCCCCCCACCCCAAGCCTCGCAAACACACACATTTTTCATGCTCCTAAACTAGTTTAATATTCCAATGACTCACCCGCTATTACACTGCAGATTTATGTCACCAACTAATGTCATGAAAACTAAAGGAAATATTCCGCACTAAACGAACTTGCGATATTTGGTTTAAGAATCTCATTTGGCGCAGTTATCGGGAATTTTATTTCGTGAACTCGGTGTCATTATATTTCTTTCATCGTACCCTTGAAAAACTAGAAAAAACTGATTATTGGGCATCGGTGTTTGCCGATCATTTGAAAGAATGTGTTGGCAACGAGTCCGTGCGCCAACTTCCAACTTCGGCTCGGTAGGTTGGCGGGAAGTGGGTCGATTAGCCATCCGAAGATTTTTGCTATCCAGGCAGAAACGCACGAAGAAAAAACGAAGTTACTATAAAAAATTTTTTAAAGATCAATTTTTGTATAAGGATTCCTTTTGATGTATTTTTATATCTGTTTGGAACATTTTAATTACGTTTAAATGAATTGTAAAAAAAATAACCACATATGTATACAGGGTCATGCAAAATGGCGGGGGGGGGGCAAAAAAGGATATCCCTCCGGGCGCCATGATCAGAACAAGCCAAAATCGTCATTTTTTTCTTGCAAAATATGTGTGCTAATAAATTACATTAGGGGGAGAGGGTGCCTTAATTCAGGCTTTGCCCCCGGAGCATCTTTGCTTGTCTCGGCCCTGTATTTATAAATTATCATAACCCTATTTGACATTTATTAAAAAGTATATATATTATGAACTTATTTCACAGACGAGATGCTGGATGGACCAATAAAAGCGGTCATTTTACAAATCCTTGAAGTGAATTTTGATTGGGTGTCCCTGAATATATGCGTTCAGGTAGGTTCCTAAAGTTGTTGAAAAGGATGCGCATTCAGCATCTACTTTGCCCTTTGATAAATGTAACTGCAGCAGACGTTTACCTGTCTGGTATCAATTTAATAAAATGTTTTTTTTTTTAAAGTTTAATAAAATAAAATAAATATTCTGTTGATTCCGATTTTCGACAATGCCACAAGAGCTTTTGTTAGAGCATGTTAAATAATTCCGAAGAGAGTGTTTCTTTAGAAGAGGTTTTAAAGGTTGGTGCAAGGAAAATAGTGAAATGTTAGAACCCTCCTCAAAACATTAAAAAAATGTAAAAAAACATTGACCATTGAAAAAAACACAAAGAAGAAACAAAAATGGTGTCATCCTAAATTATGTTCGACCCTATCTGATTGTCATAATGATGTACTGGAGGATTCTTTTAAGCTCAATAGATTCGCAAAAAAAAAAAAAAAAAAATAACTACTAAAATATAAATAAAAAAACATTGACAATTAAAAAAAACACAAAAAAGAAAAAAAAATGGTGTCATCCTAAATTATGTTCGACCCTATCTGATTGTCATAATGATGTACTGGAGGATTCTTTTAAGCTCAATAAATTCGCAAAAAAAAAAAAAAAAAAATACCTGCTAATATATAAAGGCGAGGAGTTTGGTGGCATACAGCTATGGTGTTAAATAGATTTTGGATTTTTTTATTCTTCTTTTTCTTTAAAAAAAATTACTAAATTTCGTAGTTATCTGATAGAATTTAATAAAATAATTAGGGCGAACTGTTCACTTTTACTATATCTGATTGCTCGATATATTAAAAGATTTTTAAAAAAAATTAGAATCCGAGTAAGATATAAATATATAAGAGAAGACTAAAAGTAGACAAACTGAAAGTAATTTAGACATGGGCAGACTGAAATCCCAAAATGGCATTGTGGGTATTTTGTTTAAGAAGTACCGATGCTCAAACATTTTTTTTAGAGTAACGAAATGAGCCTAATTGATTACTGATACTATTATGTGATTATGTTTCAAAATATATTATAGTAGAAGCTTAATATACTCAGTTGCAATACTCAAATGTTACAAAACTTTCATAAGTTGTCTTTGAGGTCATAAGTTGTTATTAAGTTCATAAGTTGTTATTAAGTTCCTAAGTTTTCATTAAGTCCATAAGTTGTTTTTGAGTTCATAAGTTCTTTTGTTTTTCCTACAAGGACATAAGTGGACAGGCAACTTTGCTTCGAATTGAATCATTTTTTGGCCTTTCCAAAAAGGGTGACCAATGTATAGCTACTGACGGCTTCAGACAGTCCATAAAACCGGGCCAGTTTCTTTTGTTGGTGAACGGTCACTGGAACTACCACACAGATAGTGATTCGGCCGCCATTGACATCGCAGATTTGCAGTATGTTGAGCTGATCCCTGGTATAAAGTAGAACAAGGAGCGAACATTTTCAATAATATTTCCAAATTTAATATAAAAAATATTCTCAAACGCAGTACCGCCATTTCGGTTCAATTCTTTCAGAGAATTCGATATCCGAAGGTTTTGTGACCACGATAACCGATGTTCTGTTTACCCTTGTTGCCTGATGGGCCTAAATGAAATTCACAATGTATATCGGATCGTAGGCCACAGAAGAGAATTCTTTTTTAAACTTCTAAAGCATAATATCAATTACGATATATATGGGTGCCAGGGCTAAATAATGATCAGAAACGTGTGTGTCTTACGGAGATGGGAGATGTATTTCGAATTGAAAAGTTTCGCATTTAATTATTTTAAATTATGTTGATCGTGAAGCTCATGGTGGTTTATTACATGTCAAACAAACTGTTGATTTATGTAAATAATCCTGCCAACAATCTCTCTGTCCCGCCCCCCCCCCCCCCCCCACCAAAAAAATATGTAAACAATCCCCCCAACAATCTCCCTGTCCCCCCCCCCCCCCCTCCCCCACCAAAAAAAAAAAAAAAAACACAAAAAAAACCCCCACACAAATACTGAGAGAAAGATTCAGGAAAATGATTTGCTTTTCCTTTCATTTGAGGTTAGCATCAATTGGATGGAAAGGATTTCCATGGATATTTTTTTTCCAACTTTCTGTATGAAAGAATTTTTACTGTATCATGAGATATCAACTATGTAATTTTTGTAGGTCTATTTTGAAAGCTTGACATTTCTAAACGACTACTTCTGCAGCATGTTAGATTAGCAGAAGCGTAGGCCTACAATTAATTATTTTTTTAAAGAATGGGCAAATTAAATTTTATACAATGTTTAATCCGATTTTAATTGTATTTATTTGTCATAATGATCTACAGAGCAGATTTTTTTTCTTTTTTTTCGTTCTGGATTAATGAGATTTGGTCAGAAAACTTAGGGAAACAACTTGAATACTTTAACTCATTCTCTAGATTGAACTTCTGGTTTTATTGAATTCTCAAATTTTCCACCAGCAGTTGACTCTAAAATGCAGTAAGGAAAATCATCTTCACCATATTATCTATATTTTTTTATGTAACAAAATGTTTACATTTAAATAAACATAAACCTGAATTGAATTTTTCATTACTTGTTTCTGTTGCATTTTGATTTATTAACTGTTGGACTAAGGCATGTGTGATATGTCGAGTTAGAGAGTTCACTAATAATTGTTGCACACCAGATTATGTGATATGATTCGCCAGCAAATGTCAAACACCACCACCAGCACGCAGGCTATATATAGATAATGAGTTCACTAGCGCGCAAAATATAATTCCCGATAACTGCGCTAAATAATTTATATTTTTTTAATAACGCAACTTCGTATGGTGCGTAATATTTTTCGAAAAATGAAATCGTCTCAATTTAAGTAAAAATTTCAGTTTAAAAGTGTTTGGGACATAATATTTAATATAGTTGATGGGCGTGAAATAAAAAGTGTGCAGTGACGTATCATGGGGGAAAAAAAGGGGGGGGGGGAGGGTAGCAAATATTGGGATTCTTTTAAATGTGCGTTACTTGAGTTCATGTTTTTGTCAAGTAACTTTACTAGATGGGAAGTTCACGCATTGCCGTCGCCAATGTTTGGCGGGCTATAACTAGTGTTTTATTGCGCTCGGCGTGTTTCAAAAGAGTTATTAATCAATGAACGGTTTCCCCGCCATTTACTTGACATGTATTTTGATGGTAAGGATGACGTTTTTTCAGCAGTCATGGAAGATCCTTGTAGCGGATGGTTGTGTATTTATTCTCTCTTATAGTCTCTCTTATAGTCTCTCTTATAGTCTCTCTTATAGTCTCTCTTATAGTCTTATATGGAGCTGCGCAATACATGTGTTTAATTTAAAATAAAGCCTGTTAAAAATAATTATAGATTAATGTTTCATTACGAATGGGAAACGACGTGTGTTTAATGCCACGTGCGTTATTACGCAGGACCGTTTGAAAGAATCTGATGAATTAACACCAATCGAATATCTGGATCTTGACATGGTATTTTCACAAAGAGTTACTAGGAGAGCTTCCCTAGGATTTAACAAATTTTCATTAAACGTTTCCAAGTAAAAATTAATAGAAATATAAAAGTCGTGAAAATTTAATCTTGAAATGTAAAAAAAAAAATATATATATAATATATATATAAGAATTTCCAAAAGCAAGGAACTTTGTTTTTAAATTGAAAAGGATAATCAGCATCATTTTCCCACTGTGACTCGTATGCAGAGTCAAAACACAGGTAAAACAGTTTTATTTCTGACTAATTTTATTTCGATTTTTAAAGGACATGAAAATCATAGTAAACACTGAATGATGTTTTCAAACAACCTGTGAAACAACACAATAAAATAAAGGCATTTGATACTGATGTTTATAATGAGTGGCAGAAAATTTGTCCATGGGAGACATCTTGGATTTAGGAGATTGCTCGCGTTGTGTTCCCCTGGCAGCATAAAATGTAACACTTTAACCTTTTCATTTTAGGTTTAAAAATATCTTAATGCTTTTGCCATAAGCCATTAGGAATATTGAGCAAATTATACACTTTAATTTTTTTATGTTAAAAAAAAAATATTTCGGTCTTTTATAATGAGGTGGCACATGGTACCTTGAGTGTATCCAGTGTACCTGTGCCTTAATGTGTCACTGAGAGATCATTTAGAAGTTATAAAAGTAACTATAATAAATGGACTTGTCACCAAGCTACTTATAGGGTACCTTAAAAACAGGCTCAAATTGCTATAAATTTCCATGCTCTGAAGTTTAGACATACTGTCCAACCTGGGCTACTAATACAGTAACGATGAGGTAATTCAATCTTTGGTATTAAACAAAAAGCCAGCAATAGTCAGACAATATGTTCTGATCCTCTTGGTTATAAAAAAATATAGAAAAAGAAATTTTCATGCCATGATTAGAATTTAGTGCAAAATTATATCCAATGAAAACATTTTTTGGACCCCTATTTAAAATAAACCAGCTGAATAAAACAATAATGTCTATTTAAAAAGACATTTATAACATTTGAAAAAGCAATGTACGAAACACGTTCTATAACAAATATAAACTTTCATCAAAGGTAAAAACAATCCGGTACATTCATTCTTTCTTTTAAAAAAGAATGAATTCTCAAAACAATCCTTTGTATCCATTATTTCCTTTTTAAAATTCACATACTCGAAACAATCCGGTAATCCATTTTTTCCTTTTTTAAAAAAAACTATACACTCAAAACAATCCAGTATATATGTTCTTTCTTTATAGGAAATTATATACTTGAAACAATCCAGTATTAGTATAAATCCATTCTTTATTTTTTTTTTTAAATGTATATATTCTTTTAAAACAAAAACAGATACACTTATTCTGCTATTAAAACTTTATCTACTCAGTTTCTTCAAAGATGTACTATATGTCTTAATCTGAATATTCAAATATGACCTCACAATTCATTGAATACTGTCATAGCTCTCAAACTCTTGAATGAGCACCGGTTCATAAGACCTTCGATTCTGGAATTTCTTTCGTAAACTGACAAACAACATAAAGCCTATGCCTGCGATGGCGATACAGCTCAGGGCAACCCCAAGAGAGAAGGTGAAGGCTGCAGCAGTCTGCTGTCCAGAAGCTAGGCCATCAGAGGTGCCGTTGACCTGATTCTGTGCAGTCTGACCTCTGACTTTGTTTTTTCTCCCGTGACCTTTGTCCTTTGAACTTCTGCTGGGATTCCAGCTTTGGCATGTGGGGAATTCTTCAGGTGGTGGTGGCATCTCATCTGGATTTCCCTCTTGTAGAATAAGCTGCATGCCCAGCTCCGCATGGAACTCGATGTGGCAGTGGAAAAACCAAAAACCTGTTGTGATGAAATTAAGTTAATGATTTAAGTTGTTTTTTTAATAAAGTTTATGATTTAAGTTGTTTTTTTAATAAAGTTTATGATTTAAGTTGTTTTTTTAATAAAGTTTATGATTTAAGGAAATAAAGCTTAAAAATAACATTTCAAAAGCATTTTTAGGAGCTATTTTCATAAAACTTTTATAAAACTTAGAATGTTACAAAACTTAGAAACATGTTATGGGCTTACAAAAAACTGCATGACACAATTACAACAGCGTGTTATTTTAAAAAATGAAATTCCTCTATCTTGTTACATTTACATCAGCAGAGAAGTGCTCATGATCTTAATTTTTTTTTTTTTCCCCCCCCCCCCCCCCCCCCCCCCCGAAATAATTAAGTTTTATTTTCACCTGGGTTATCTGCCTTGAATCGAATGATGGTTACAGCTTGCTCTGGGACTGCCAGTGTGTCTTTTCTGGGAGCTTTAGATGTTTTCCTGGGAATCTTTCCTTCTTCATTTAATTGTTTGATTTCATTCACTGTGATGTCCCGACCAAACTAAAATTCAAAATAGAAAGCCTCTATTACCACGAAATAGATCTAATTGTGATTGAAAAGGTATATAAAATTTAGTCATTTAGATTGCACTGGTGTTCATTACTTCAGTAGATTTTTCACTCTTATTAAGAAGATTTTTTTAAAAATTAGCTTGATTATTCTAGTGTTTAGTACATCAAATAATATGACAATGGGACTAATGAATTAATTATTTTTATCAAATTATCAAATTTCAATTAAAATAAGTTGAGCCACATCTAATCTATTAAAATAAGGAAATAGTATTATGTACACTCCTAGATACTGAACAGTAAAGAACATATTTTTTTTATGTGAACAGTATGAAAATATGGTTTTGTAAACTTCAACTTTTATGAAAGTATGGACATATGAATAAGATTACAAGTAAATGAATGTAAATATCCTTGTAAGAATGACCATCCAACGTGACCATCCAACTTACCCTGTGCATAGTGACCGCCTTGTAGGAGTGACCATCCAACTTACCTTGTGCATAGTGACCGCCTTGTAGGAGTGACCAGCCAACTTACCCTGTGCATAGTGACCACCTTGTAAGAGTGACCATCCAACTTACCCTGTGCATAGTGACCGCCTTGTAGGAGTGACCAGCCAACTTACCCTGCGCATAGTGACCACCTTGTAGGAGTGACCATCCAACTTACCCTGTGCTTAGTGACCGCCTTGCAGGAGTGACCATCCAACTTACCCTGTGCATAGTGACCACCTTGTAGGAGTGACCATGCATGTGCATGGGATGTATCAATGTGTTCTTGTAGGACACAAGTACAATCTCGACCAGGTCTCCGATGTCATATTTCAGCATGTGAACACACATGCACAATTCTTTACTGCAGTCGTAGGTCATGGTAGAATTATTGCAAATCAGACCCTGTTCAAATGTATTTGTTAAAAATTTTAACAATCACTGTCTTGATGTTTCACAATTTTTAAATCTACCAAATATCAGTTTTGCTTTTTTTTTAAAAAATGTTTCAATATAAAATTGTTGGTTGACAGTTATTAATACAGTTTAAAAAAATGAATGAATATCCTGAGGCCTTGCATCAGCCCTAAACTTTGCCAAGTGTGTCCCCCCTGACAAGAGGAAATAAACACAAACCTCAGGTATGTCATCATACTGTGACAGGGGTGGGGAGGGAGGGAGTCTGGATGATATATAGTTAAGCTGATGGTTGAAGGGGCGGACAGGTGGGGGTTTCTCGGTGGTCAGCGAAGGATGAGGCGGGGGCAGGAATCTCTCATCGACTATTTCACTAGCACCTTTTTTTAAAAACATGGAAAAAATAAGTGAACAGATAAGGCAACAAAATTGTAGGACACAAATGAGTCAGTAGATATTTGAATGTACAGCTTTAAATTTAAAATTACATTTTTCTAGTATAAAAATCAGGCTTCTACTTACAGTTTCAAAATAAATTTCTCAACAAAAATCTTTTAAAATCTTTTGCAAATAGTTATTAAATGTTTAAAAAAACTGCTTAATGAATCGGATACAAGGGATTCAACTGACCAATAGAAATATAGAACTGCTTAGCTGGCTTAGCTTTCAGCATTTGGTCTTCATTTACTTCTGGAAGAGCATTGAGATCAACAATTTGAAAGCTGGTTCCAGGGGTTCCCCTGCGTCCATTGAGTATCTACAAAATTT